AGTTGTTATTAAGAGTCAGTAAATATGACTATGTTTTCTACTGTTCACTCTACTTCTGCTACTTTCCACGTGTTATTACTTTCTAATTATTATTACAACTCTGTACTGTTTTAATGTGTTTTATACCGCTCACTCTACTTCTGCTAGGTACCGTGTGCTATTAATAACTTTACAGATTATAAGTACAGTTATGTGCTGTTTTAATATATCTGTATACCGTTCACTTCTGCCATAGTTGCGTGTGCTATTATTTCACAGATTATGAGTACAGCTATATGCTGTTTGGATTTGTTATGCTAGTTCCACTCTACTGCTATTAGTTATTGAATGGTTAATATTTACTTGATTGTAAGGATGAGTATGCTTTGTTGTAATATATTTTTAATGTTATGTGCTGCATTAAAAATTATCTTACTGACCTAACTCCTAACTTACCCAATAAATATGACCAGTAGCATAGAATGTAAAAAGAAAGTTAATTTGTTTGCTGCACGTCATAAGTTATATTGCAAGTTGTAAACATTTTGTTTGAGGTATAGTTTCTTTGTATTATATTTCTATATCTAATTTAGTCTATCCGCAACTATATACTATGTTTTAATATAATATTGCATGTCTGCCTTTATTTAATGAGTTTGATTTTTGTACATTTCTAAGAATATCTTTATATTTTAAAAGAAAAATAAAATTCCAAAAGTAATGATAAATGTTACCATGATATTGAATTTTCATGTTCTAGTGCTCAAAAGATCACATTTTTTTTCTATTTGGTGAATTCAAACATTTACAACAGTTTTTTGTTCTCTTTGGAAGAGAAAGTCTGGAAAACATGTTCTCCTATTTTCTCATATTACAAACATCCATCACGTTTCTGTAAGCACCTTTTAAAAACTTTTAGTCAGAACAATCAGCTTCTTATTCTTACAGTTCGAGAATACTTTACACGTTGTATTAAAAAGCATCCTGTGGAAATATCACAGAAGTTCTTGCTTTCAGAAAGCCAGTCTTCGCCATTTTACATTTACAGAAACGATGATAAGTTTAAGTCACTACCAATTCTACGTAAACACATAATTTCATATAACACCTTTTATGGGATGGCGAGCTTTGACTACCCTTAATGATAACCATAGATAAACAGACATCCGTTCTGCTTTACATTCACCGGTAATTTACATGTTCAGTATATGATGAAAATCAGTTCATGGGTACGATTTTGCTTTTAGGATTTCCTAAGATAGCACAGTATTTACATAAATGTAACGAATAAAATGCTTTCTTCTTTTTTTCAAATCACTATTTTCTTAGTAACCAATGATATTCTATAAAAAAGAAAAAAAACAACCCAAGGATATGTGCATATATATATATATATATATATATCTGCGTGTGCCTTTTGTAATACAGGTTTATGGGTATATATTTTGTACACAAATATATTCACATATACAAACATGTATATATATATAAACACGTGTCACCTTGGAGAAAACGTTATCATTCTGATCACAATAATATCTTGGCAAAAAATGAAGAAGTACGTATAGTTATACGTGGAGATAAAATTCATATTACAGAAACATAATATTTACAACAAAATAATTACATGATACGCTAAAAGTTTTGAAATGTTTACAATGAATATTTGAACTACACAATTACTTAACAACAGTAATATAATAATCAGTTTAAGACAGTGCTCACAAACCCTTTGTTACTCATATAATGGATGTGCATTTCCTTATGAGTCCCATTTCATAGTCTAATGGTACACAATGAGTAGCACATAAAACAAGAGTACGTCTATTTTTTTACGCCTCTTTTGAGATACTGGCTTTAGACACATTCGTTAAAAACAAGAATAAGTATAAATACACAAGCTTAACCACTTAATTCTAACTGTAATAAAGCTTTACAAATATTCAAGTTTCTCTAGCTTACACTTTTTCGTTATTAATCTATATCACAAATACAAAGAATGACAAAGCCTACTGGCACTTATCTACCTTTCATTCACACCAAACAATACTGACATCTGAAAAAAAATATATATATATGCTTTTCCTATTTAGACTAAAACTAATTAAGTTGTTTCTAGGCAACTTGAGCCCACGAAAGATGAATTTACATATTTCTATAAAACATTGAACTTTAACACTAATCCTTAAAATCTACGGCTAACATTAGGAAGCTGACATCATATATTTCTAAAAGTTCTAATAGTTCCTCAAAACCAGTTTGAAAGTGTTGTTTTTTTACAACAACAGCAGAGAAAGTGACTTATAACATAGATTAGCACTTCCATCTCGAAAGGTTTAACAGTGGGATTCAAAAAAAAAAGAAGAAAAAAAAACATACACACTGAGGTAAAACATTTGTTTAGCTTATATACATACATATATCTATGTCGAGAAATAGGTGTTAACAGTTTGTAAGTATACAATACATAGAAAGTAACGTATTATCCTCTAACAAATTCCCTAGGGCCGCCCCTTTGGTTCCCTCTCTGTTCACCACCTATTACTGGATAAGGTAGTACCAAGAATATTAGAGCAAGCTGATTTAGATTGAGCGCACTGAGAATAAGGGTAGAATATTAACCAACCCGTGTGAGGAACTAAACGGACCAAAAGGAACTGCAATACCTGAACTTGTAGTAAAGCGACGCCTTAACATGCTGCAATACCTTGTAGTAAAGCGACATGAGGAACTTGAGTGTCGCTACGTATACATGAGGAACATATAACTGTTAGGAAAAAAACCCACCCCCATCTCTCTTCTTCTCACCACCCCGCTCTATGATGTCCATAGGAAAAAAATGGTTTGATGTTTTTGTCGTTTTATAGATGGTGTGATTTCGATAGATACTTGAGTAACATGACATCATTGTGACGTGTAAACAAAGAAACGCTTTGTAATCAAAGATCACTTGAGCCAAACATATCCATTGGTATATTTTAACACGTTCAACTGAGCAAATGTAAGGAAGATCTGTATCAAGTTAATAAGATTACTGTTGAATCTATGTACAGATAATATTGCTTAATATTTAGTGTCTAAAATACGCCATATTAAAAAGTGCAGCATTTGATGAATATGTGCGATAGCCTAGATCAAAGAGCAGATAAAAAACGAAATGTTGTAGTAGAGGCTCCTACTATAGAGTGCCAACAGAAATCATCGGTAACTTCGAATATTAACTTAAAACTATAACTTAGATATATACCACAAAGAAGCAAATTAACCAGAGTGTTTATAACAACGTGCTAGATTAAATTTGATATAACCATATTAACTAGAAAAATTAAATATCTTACTGTTAAAAAAAACCGCGAACGTCTTAGCAGCAACTGTTGTTCTTAATATCTAACAATCAGAAATGAATCAAGGAGACTAGTGAAAGCTATCTAGGAATATAGCAGTCAGAAATAATACATTGAACAAGGAGATGATATCTAAACCTATAACAGTCAAGCATGAACCTCCTAAAGTAGGAGATAATAATATCTAAATATATAACAGACAAATATGAGCCACTGGAATAGAAGATGATATCTAAACATATAACAATCAGATATCAGCCCATTGGACTTAGGGGATGATATTTAAAACTGTAATAGTCTGATATGGACCCAATGGACTAGAATATGATATCTAAATCATTATGAGTCAAACATGAGCTCATTAGACTAGGAGAAGATATCTAAAGACAAAAAATAACAGTCCGTTTTGAACCCCCCTAGACTGGGAGATAGTGCCTAAACATATAACACTGGACTTAAGAAATGGTATCTAAATGCTATCCAGTGAACTAGGAGATTATATCTAAACTTATAACAGTCAGATATTATCCCACCGGACAAGGATATTATATCTAAACATATGACAGCAGATATAACCTCACTGGAATAGGAGACATCTAAATGTATAATAGTCAGATATGAATCTACTGGACCAGGTTACATCTAAACGTATATCAGTCAGCTATGAATCCACTGGACTAGGAGATGTTACCTATATGAATAGAAACAATATACAAGCTCTCTGAACTAGGATATATGATCTAAATATATACCACAGTAAGATATGAACCCAGTATACCTGAAACGTTTGTCTAAGGAAATAGCAATAAAATATAATTCAGTGTTCTAGTGGATGTGATATAAACAAATAACTGTTAGATATGGAGGTGTGATCTATGTGTAAAATACAGAAATGAGCCCAGTAGTGTAGAATATATTCCATAGTAATTATATTTGTAATTAAAAGTCCGCTAGACAGGAGAGTGTTACACGTAAATTATGTAAGTTTAACACAAAAGTATATGAAATGTTATCAGACCCTACAACAGACGAAAATTTGTTAATCACTACAAACAGAAACTATAATGTATGCTTTGAAATGTGATAGCCTACAATCGCTATTGTTTGTACACATCCTAACTAAACAGTATAGATAAAATATCAGTGTATGATATTATGACAAAAAAAAAGTATTTTGACGCGACACTCCGAAGCATCAGCCTTTTTTCTTATTACTATCTATGCAAGTATATCCCAAGTGGTTGTGGGGTCTCTATCTCCTCTACAGATTCATAAAAGACAGGTGTTGTGGTCGGCCCATCAACGGATAACAGGAGGTCTGAGAGGGAGCGCTATCCTGAATATCTGGAGGAGTGATAGATCGTGAGCCTCTAAAAAAGGGTTGAAACATGTACTGGCCCATGTTAATCCCAGTCATTGGTCCTTCCGAATTGGGATTGATGTGTGGAGAGTAGGAAGAGCGAGATATTAAACACGTACCGGATGTGACATTAGAGTGTGAAGTTGTACAAGAGTTGCCACATGAGCTACAGCAGGCTGTCATGTTTGACAGAGAGCCAAGTGTGGTTGTATCATCATGCTCGTTATTATTACGATTTGGAAATGAGAGACATATTGACGATGAAATTCCCTCACATGTCTTGGGGAGTAAATTCAATCTGTTGCGTTTTCTCTTACTTGGTGTTCCCGATGCATTGGGATCCTTGTGAGTTATACGCATGTGTTCCATCAAGGCCTCTCCGTTCAGACAGATTCGATGACACACAGGACACGACTGAGAGTTAGCTCCTCCAATTAGGGCTGCGTGTTGCTGTAGAAATCAGACAATAAACTCTTAGGTGCATTGAAACTTTTGCACAAAATCAACAGCAACAAAGGAATTCAAGAAAGATTAAAAGTCCCCAAAATACTCACAATCAGCGTAACATTGTATTATTTATTTATTATTACTTTCATTAAAAACATTATTGGTCATACTATTTAGTATATCAAATTTCATTACTGTTTAATTTTTTTTTTTTCATTAGTATACATTTATTATAAATATTGTTTTGCACTGTTAGCTTAACATAGTACTTAGGACTGACCTAAACTTCCTTTGCTGGCTTAAACTCTTGAGATATCACAGCCGAAAATATCGTTAACAGTAATGGTATCCAACTGATAAAACACTGTTTTATAGTCTTTATAAAGAGAAATATAAGAAGTGAGTAATCAGTTAGCTATACTGACTGTCAGGTTGATTTTTAGTTTTGTTCTAAATACATATCCTGCTCCGATTAGAAGTCAATATTAATAAATGGTATTTCGAAAAACATTTGTGGAGCAAATACAAAATTTAAGTGTGCATTAATGATTCGGAATATTCCTAGCGCTAGTTATCTAAGGTTCATAAATATGGAAGTTTTCAAACTATTTAAATATAGACAAGCTAATACAAAAAAATCACACACAGCACTTTTGTTCAATGTCACAAATTTTGGAGAAAATAACGAAACCTGTAAAGCTTGCTTAAAATCAGTTTAATCTATTAAAAAAAATGTTATCTATTTCAAGAAATACGGTACTTTATTAGTTACTTCTTCACTGCACACAATCTATATTATTCAGATCTCAGAACATTTAGTACAATACAAGGGACTTTTTTTACAGTGGTGATACTGATCAATATCAGAACATTTGTCACGATTCTAGCCTTTTCCTTTCTACAATCCGGATACTGATCAATATCAGAACATTTGTCACGATTCTAGCCCTTTCTTTTCTACAATCCTGGTACTGATCAATATCAGAACATTTGACACGCTTCTAGCCTTTCTTTTCAACAATCCGGATACTGATCAATATCAGAACATTTGTCACGATTCTATCCTTTTCTTTTCTACAATCCTGATACTGATCAATATCAGAACATTTGTCACGATTCTAGCCCTTTCTTTTCTACGATCCTGATACTGATCAATATCAGAACATTTGACACGCTTCTAGCCTTTTCTTTTCTACAATCCGGATACTGATCAATATCAGAACATTTGTCACGATTCTATCCTTTTCTTTTCTACAATTCTGATACAGATCAATATCAGAGCATTTAGCACGCTGCTAGGATCTTCCTTCATACAATCTTGATATAGACTTATATCAGAACATATAATACGTTATAACAATAAGTTTGTTTGTTTCTAATTAAGCACAAATCTACATAATGGGCTATCTGTGCTCTGCCCACCACGGGTATAGAAAACCGGTTTCTGGCGTTTAAGTCCGCAGACATACCGCTGTGCCACTGGGGGGGGGGGATACTCGTTTCGAAATTTCACATGTTCTCCTCAGTCCAACGTTTCTTATATTGGACTAAAGAGTACATGCGAAATGTCGAAACTAATATCCATATAAATTTGGTAATGTTCCGTTAACACGGACTTAAACTTTATTGTAATTTAGAACGTTACTAGTATTTTCTTCACTACAGTCCAGGTTCAGAACAATATCAGAACATTTAGCACGTTACTAGTATCTTCTTACCCACAGTTTAGATACAGATCTATGTCAGAACATTTAGTATGTTACCAGTCTCTTCTTAACTACAATTTTGATAAATATCTATGCTAAAAGATTGATTACGTTATTAGGGTCTCTGCTTTCTTACATTTCTAAAACATATCTATGCCAGAATATTTAGTAAGTTACTACGGTATCTTCACTCCTGCAGTCAAGATACAGATGTACGTTGCTAGTCTCTTCTTTCCTACAGTCCAGACACCTGTCTCAGAACATTTAGTAAGTTAAATAATTTCATTCTTTCCTGCAGTCCTGTAAAGACTGATGTCAGCACAGTTACTACGTTACTAGATTCTCTTGAAAGATAACTATGTCAGAACAGTTACAGAGTTACCAAAAGTTTCTTGTTTCCTTCAATTCTGATACATATCCTAGTCAAAACGTATATTAGTCATCACATTCTTTTATTTCAAGCGGTCCAAATACAGATCTAGTTCTAAATATTTAGTAAGTTACAAGATTTTTTTCTTCCCTACAGTCCAGATAAAGATTTATGTCAGAACTTTTGGTAATTTACTAGTTCCTTTTTCCTACAATCCTGACACAGATGTATTTCAGTACGTTTAGTACAAGATTTTGTTCCTCAAAAAGTGTCTGTTTTTTTTAAAACATTTGTTCCAGCTAGTTTCGTCCTACCTACTGAACGATGGTTAGTTTAAAAATGCATGTTGATATAGTAACTTTTCATACATAATCATCTGTAACTAAACATATACACTTTTATTCGATCAAAAATAAATGTATTAAAACATCTTAATTTTGGAATTAAAGTAGACATGATCTATAAAGATTGCTTTTAATTGCAGTAAATTATTAATAAATAAATGATTCTAACACAAAACATAAAGATTTCTCGTTCTTGTACTTGAATCATTGTTAGTTTATAATATTTTGAGCTCTGTATTTGGCTTTTTTTTACTCAATAGATGAAAAAAACCGATTATTCGAATTTTGAACCACAAATTTTTTGTCCATTCAGAATTTTGTTTAGTAATATTACTTTGTGTTAATATCATATTCAAACCAAGTCACAATGATTAATACAACTCCTTATAAGTAAAATAACTATCTTGTTCTGAACTTCGAATAATAATAAAACATAGAACACATTCCCCAGTAATGTCAAAATTAACTTGAATCAATTTCTTGACTTACGATAAATTGTTTCTTGTCAGAATTTGAAAATTTGAAAAACAGTTTATCAATTAAACTGATACAAGTGAGATAATTGTCTTCTACCATGGAATTTATGAGTAGCTATGTTTTCTATAGTGTATGACGGATTTATTATTATATATTTATTTTAATATCGAGGTTTGTTTGAAATAAATTTATATTTAGAAATGTATATAACTGTTAGATATCTACCGCGAAACTCCCGCCTATTGTCTAATGTTGTAGAAGATTCTCGAGTGTAAGAATCAACAATATATGTGTGTACGTAAACGCTAGTGTTAGCGTCAGTATTGTTACGTAAAACTGAAATTTAGGGAACTCTCCACACGCCTATAAATATAACCAACGCAACGCGCCAAAAATGTAGCTATTATTGGGTTGCTATGTTTGGTGTGCTATAAACTTCGTAAGCTGTAACTGTGATTAACGCTTATTAATCGGGAAACTTCAGATATATTGACCAGGAACATTTATAAATTTCGAACATTACAAACCATTTAACTTCAGTGGATTCACATTGACATTAGTACTTTTATGAAAACATTACCTAATGCCATCGGTGGAAACACGACGTGTAATCGGCGTGTGATGAGCGAGAACTACAGGGCTAGCTAGGTCCCTGTTGAGTAAATTGTACCTATGTCAACTCGAAATTAACTCGCTCATCGTCAACCCACGAAAAGATATCAATGAAATTACAGACTAGAAAGGAGACTTTATATTGCTTGGAAGTTTGTGAAACTTTTGTATATAAATCATTGTTTGTAATAACTATTATTGTAAATTGTGTTGTTTTTTGTATATTAAAACATATTTGTATTAAAAAAAAGAAAACTGTGTGTATCAATATTGTTGGCAAATATCATAAATTGGAGATATATCGGCATATATTTAACTACCAAATTTAAATTATCATTCAGCTCAGTTTCAGACCATTCGAAATTGTAATACGTAACAAGTGCCAGTTTCAATACTATAATATAGTCTTCTCTTCTTTATAGTTATATAAAATATATTATTCGATTTCCGTAAGACCGAGAAAAAGGTATTTGTATTTTAATTGTTATTCGTTTCAGTATGAGCAATGATGATTTACTATTTGACGATTAAAATTTCGGTGGGTAAAATAATATAAATTTTTTTTGCATAGAATAAGCCTCACACAAAACTTAATTTGCTCACTAATTTTCATTCTTTCTGTTTCATGTTATAATTCAGACCACATAATTTACATATTAGGCTTGTTTCCAAAAATTATATGTTGTATTGTATGGCTATAACGAAACCAGAAAGATTGTCGGTATATCTCTTTCCTAACTTTGGATAGTCTAGTACAAAACTTTGGTTAGGAAGTCAACTACACTCTATATTAGGCTTGTTTCTTTAAACTTCATGTTGTATTGTATAGCTATGGCGAAGTTAGAAAAAAATGCTGGAGTGTTCCTTTCGTAATATTAGATACTCTATCGAAGATTCTGCTCAGGAAGTAAACATATTTCTATATTGGACTTATTTGCTGAAATCCCATGTTATAATGTACAAATAGGTATACGCCAGATTGTTTATCACTTATTTTAAAGCCTCACCACAGTATTTACCTTGGCACGATGTGTGCGAAGGCTGTTTTCAGAAGCAAAACCCTTGCCACAGATGTTACATTGGAATGGTCTATTTTTCGCTCGTTCCATTTGACTGTCATGATTTCGTAGATGCTGCTGTAGGTTGGACAATTGGATGAAGGCCCTTCCACAATCAGTCAGGTGGCATCTATATGGTCGTTCCCCTAAAAACAACAGAAAATAAAATAAACATAGAAACATATTGATGTGTAACAAAGGAAAGTCATCCAAAAATAAACTTTGGCATTCTTGTCGTTTAACAAAGACATTGTAAAAAAATATAACAGTAAATTAATATTTTTCATATTTCTAAATTTGTATCTAAATCTTGCTCTTAAAAGGAGATCATTCAAGGATAAGTACCAAGATATGTTTTGTAAGTAGTTGGAACTTTATGCGGGCCAATGAAAGGTAGATATATTTTCGGAACTATCTGTAAATTCTACCTTTGAACGAATAAGTCATCAAAAGTTGTCAATACGCATTAAGTCATGTATGCGTCCTCCTACATGAGATAATAAAACCAAAAATAAACAGACTTAAAGTCTATATATAAATATGCGAAAACGACCAAAAATATGCGTGCAAACAATTTCTTCAAAAATAATTAACTCAACACACTCACTAATCTGTTTTTAAGTGATAACTTCAGCTGATGAGAATGAGGGGTAAGACGTGCGGCAGAGGATAGAGGTATTCATTCATCATTAACATTTTCCTGACAAGTATTTCCGAAGAAGCATGAAAGGTAAAACAAACTCACAAATCCTACCTCGTAAATTATATGGTCACCAAACATTCTCTAAGTCTTCTTATGCTAAGTTAATTTACTAAGTGCCGCTTTATGACACTTGGAAGTTCTTTAATGTTTTCTATCCAAACAAAAAAGTGCTCAGAAAATGCAATTGGCTAAAAATAATGATGATAATAAAAAAGCGTCTGAGGACGTTTTACCATAGAACAGATAAAGCATCGTTATTAAATATCTAATGTGAAAATGTAATGTTCCATTCAAATGTATTCAATGGTTCTGTGATACAAAAATTACTTACAAAACCCAAACAAAACAATCACGAAAGTTATAAAGATTTTACATGGCATGAAGTATTTAATATTGATACATACGTAAATAAACAGATGGCGCTACTAACGAAATACCAAGGGTTTTATGTGCCTCGATTTTGTTGCTGTCTTGTTGTTAAGCGCTAAATCCTTCAATGGGCTGGCTACCTGTGCTGCGTCCACTTCGACTCAAATCTCAAATTTTTGGTCTTGGAAAACTGGAAATGGTATTTGTTCTACAGAAGCTTCAAATAACCCTAAAATTATCAACTTGTTTATAATACTGTTCACAACCGGTAGCAGTCCACATATTGTATCATACTACGTAGTTTCATGTTTTTGTCTGTTTCAAACTTAGTGGTTGAAATCATCCATTTTCTGGGTTAAATAAATAGGGAACTCCAACAGTAGTTAGAAGGTTTAATTGCAATATTGAAAATGTTTATGTAAGGCCAGCATGGCTAGGTGGTTAGGACGCTTGACTCGCAATCTGAGGGCCGTGGGTTTAAATCCCCGTCCCACCAAACATGCTCGCCCTTTCAGTCGTGAGGGCATTACAATGTGACGGTCAATCCTACTATTCGTTGGTAAAAGAGTAGCCTAAATGTTTGCTGTGGGTAGTGATGACTAGCTGCCTTCCCTCTAGTCTTTCATTGCTAAATGAGGGACGGCTAGCATCGATAGCCTTCGTGTAGCTTTGCGCGAAATTCAAACCAAACAAATAAGATGTTTCTGTTTATTTTTATGTGTATGTTATTAAGGGCCTGGCTCCATTAGCACATTGGTTCATAATTAATATAGAAAATGTATTTAAAAACGAATGGAAATTCATGCAGATCTAATAGACAAGTCTATGGTTATACTCTTATTTTATAGTCCTCAACTCAGGTAGGCTGAAGTCGGGATAATTCTGCCTGGTGTAATCGAGAATCTTATAAATAGGAGAAATACTAATATATAGATTTGTCTTAAGCTCAAATACGAACTTGTAATCTTGAAGAGGTGTGTTACAAGAACCATAATGAAATAGTTTATTTCGTTTCCATGGAAGACGCATTATAATTACTAAAATTTTAATTTTCTCTGTTGTTTAGCTTTGATTAAGAAGGGATAGTTTCTCTTAGACTTGTTGACTTTGTTTAAGATACTGATATATAAGATGGTATTGGTATTTTGAACCTGATAGACACCTTATTGGCTGCACGGCCAGATTAAAAACCCAAAATTACTGTATACATCATCTGTTCAAGAAAGTATTTATTGATCCTCACGATATCTTGCACCAACGTTATTCAACAACGATGCTAGTTTGTGAAAAGAGCGATGTAGGTATACAGTATAATATGCTTTTAAAACGCACTATGTCATTCCCAAACTTTCGTGAATAAAACGACTCTCAATATACTTCTGGCGAGCATTTGGCCTCGTACAACCAATAATTTTAAGACATTATTATGTCATATATGTTATGATCTATATTTATTCGGCGTATTAAAAGTTATTTTGTGCATCACTGTGAATACATATTAAAAGTTTTTACATTCCCTCTCCAGCCAATAGTATCCAGACACCTTATACAATATTTTTCACATTCATTCTCCAGCCAGTAGTATTTGCATTTCTCCTAAATATGTAACGTGGTCCACCCAGCACGCTTTGAAAAGCAGCTCTGTGCGTAAAAGTACTTAGACTATTAATGACGAAATGTGTAAGCTGACAACACATTGGGTATTGATTTGTTGTTAAGCGCCAAGCTACATGTGCTCTGCTCCCCGTGGTTATCGAAACACGATTTTTCTCGTTTTAAGCTCAGAGAGCTATAGCTACATCGTGTAGTAAATACATTTAAAAAAGGAAAATATAGAACAAACTTCAGAAACTAAAACAAATAACTGGGAATAGTATCAACAATTTGTCATATGCGAACTATAGTGCGTGTTACTATTCAACGACGATTTCGGGAATATGATAATGCAACATCTAAAAAGGCAGTCAAGAACTTATAAACATCCTTTATTAGAATAGTTAACAAGTGACAGTGTATTTACTGCACTTAGTAGGGCAACATATTGTATTAGGGTTTGTGGAGCGCGTGTCATTCCTCATTCACATTCCTCAAGTGTCTGTGCATAGACATCAATAACTCTTAAGAACCATGTTAAGAAGCCATGATGTTGTAAACATTGGGCAAGATATCTTGGTGTGAAGTGTCTGTCCATGGACATCAAGAAATCTTAAAGACCATGTTCCATAAGCCATGGTCTTTCTTCAGGAGAGCTATGGGAGACAGCAAAATAATATTCTCTACTACAAAGCACGTACGACCAATACCTATGTAAAAATAAAAGAACACAAATTCCATATATGACGGACTTATTATTATATATTTATTTTGATATCGATGTTTCCTTACACTAAATTTATATTTAGAAATGTACATAACTTATACTGTTAAATATGTATTGCGAAACTCCGCCTATTCACTAAAATTGTAGAAGATTCTCGAGTTTAAGAATCAACAATATAAGTCTGTACGTAAACGCTAGTTTTAGTGTCAGTATTGTTACGTAATCTGAATTTTCGAGAAACTCTCCACACACCTATAAATATAACCAACGCGACGCGCCTAAAAAAAGAAGATTATCTGTTACTGGTTTGCTATAGTTGGTATACTATAAACCTCGGAAACTATAATTGTGAGTAAAGCTTATTAATCAGAAATATTAGATATTTGACCAGGAATATTTATAAATTTCGAACATTACAAACTATTTAATTTCAGTGGATTCACATCGGACATTAGTACTTTTTGAAGACATTATATATAACTTCAGCGGTAAAAGAAACTCGACCTGTAATCGGCGTGTGATCAGCGAGAACTACAGAGCTAGCTAGCTCCCTGTTAAGTGGATTGTTCCTAGGTCAACTCGAAATTACCTCGCTCATCGTGAACCTTCGATAAGATATCAAGGAAATTCCAGACTAGAAAAAGACCTTGTATTGCTTTTAAATTTGTAAAACTTTTGTATAAAATCATTGTTTGTAATAACTATTTGTAATAACTGTTATTGTAAATTGTATTATTGTTTGTATATTAAAATATACTTATATTAAAAAAAAAGAAAACTGTGTATCAATCTTGTTGGCAAATATCATAAATTGGA